ACCTAGTTGTGTTTGCGGGGGTTGAGCTCTGGCTCTTTGGTCCCGCCTCTCAACCGTCAATCAACAGGTGTACAGATTCCTGAGCCTATCGGGCTCTGTGTGTGTGTGTGTGTGTGTGTGTGTGTGTGTGTGTGTGTGTGTGTGTGTGTGTGTGTGTGTGTGTGTGTGTGTGTGTGTGTGTGTGTGTGTGTGTGTGTGTGTGTGTGTGTGTGTGTGTGTGTGTGTGTGTGTGTGTGTGTGTGTGTGTGTGTGTGTGTGTGTGTGTGTGTGTGTGTGTGTGTGTGTGTGTGTGTGTGTGTGTGTGTGTGTGTGTGTGTGTGTGTGTGTGTGTGTGTGTGTGTGTGTGTGTGTGAGAAAAAAAAAATGATTGACAGTTGAGAGGCGGACCGAAAGAACCAGAGCTCAACTCCCACAAGCACAACTAGGTGAATACACAGCCACCTATGCATGCACACCTATCCACAAATTCTCACTAAGTGAGTATTCGCACTGACACGAGTAATCACACGCTCTCCCTAATAGGTGAGTACCCACCCACGCGTCCCCCCCCCCCACCCACGCACACTACTGCTCCCGTCACAACAGTCACCCACACTGTACGTGAGTCACACCCCAGGGATGGCACCCTCCAAGCTGAGGCTGACGGCTCACTAGTACCCGTGATCGGCCTCCCACCAAACACGTCGCATTATTTACACAATCCTCCAATCAGTTACGAATGCGACGCATTGTGAAAATTTGGTAAGGATATTGGAGGTAGAGCAACCCACGGTACTCCACAGACCGGTGTCACTGGCCAGCGTCTCCTCCAAAGTACTCGAGAGAGTAATCAGGACAAGACTAGTTATACACCTAGAGGCAATTAAATATGTAAACAAACATCAACATGGCTTTAGGGAGGGAGTATCCTACCTAGCAAACCTACTGGAGTTATATTATAAAGTAACGAAATTAAAGCAGCATAGAGGACGTTGGGCAGATTGTGTATTTCTGGACTGCCAAAAAGCCTTTGACACGGTGACCCACAAGAGAGGCAGACGAGAGAAAGCAGAAAGGCATTTAATACGGTCCTGCAGGCTGGCGTATCTGGATGATTGCTAAGGTGGATCAGAGAGTATCTCTGAGGAGGACGTACAGTGTTACGGTGAGAGCAAACATCAGAGTGGAGAGAGGTTACGAGTGGAGTACCACATGAATAGGTTCTAGGGCCCTTCCTGTTTCTAATATATGTCGAAGACCAGACAGAGGAAACTTTCTCTTTCATATTAGTGTTTGCGGATGATGTAAAATTAATGAGAAGAGTCCGGACAGATTTCGACTGTGATGTACTGCAAATGGATTTGGACACACTCCAAAAGAGGTCCGAAAAATGCCTACTAGAATTTAACCGAGCCAAATGCAAAGTTATTAGGATTGCAACTGGAGTGCGACGACCATTACAACAGTAGAAAAGGAAGGAAAACTAATTATTTAATCAGAAAAGGAGAAAGACGTGGGAGTGGACATAACCCCAAATTTGATGCCAGACTCCCACACTAGCAGAATAATAACTCGCACACATACACACAAAAGCACATACTTATGGATACGCACACACGCACACACAAGGCGGGACCTAAGAGTCAATGCTCGATCCTGCAGGGACGAATAGGTGAGTACACACACACACACACCACTCTGGAAATGGTAACATTTAACCCTAAGAAGTTAGACAAACCAAGATAGTTGAGAAGAACATAATGGATGTTGCTATACAAAAGATAGAACACTGGTTATTCAGAACCTGAGACAACCGAGAAAAGCAAAGCGTGAACGTTTGTGTAAAGAGAAAAAATCAGCCAAACTCATCCTTTAACTACAACGGGTGTAAGACTGTAGGAGACTTGGTGGTACAGACTGGGATCATAGCCACAGTATCGGAACACCGGGAATTAGGCCAATACAACGGTAGCTGTAAGTGGAGGCGCCGAGTATCCTGACGAGGCGGGTCAAGGTGTCCTCGGCAACACAGACAGCTGCAAAAGAGTGTAGCTTAAAAATAACTTTAGAGGAAATCATGAGGAAGGGAGAACAGTGCAGTGGAAGGGGGAAGGAAGATGGAAAGGTGAGAGAGGAGCTGGATGCAGGCGATGAGTCACAATAACGTGGCTGAAGTATGTTGACCAGACCACACACTAGAAGTTGAAGGGACGACGACGTTTCGGTCCGTCCTGGACCATTCTCAAGTCGATGACTTGAGAATGGTCCAGGACGGACCGAAACGTCGTCGTCCCTTCAACTTCTAGTGTGTGGTCTGGTCAAGGAGCTGGATATGAGGAGGAAGAGAGAGAAGAGGGCAACTGGAGTGGGAACTCACACCACTTCCCAGGAGCCACAAGTCAAAAGAAATACCACAACAGGGAAACAAGAGTTTGATATAACACAAGAGCATCCAGGAAGGCAGACAAATAGACATAATCAGAAACTAGTGTTGACAGTAATTGGTCAGGGCCCCACAACTATAACAACCACTTGGGCTGGACGGTAGAGCGACGGTCTCGCTTCATGCGGGTCGGCGTTCAATCCCCGACCGTTCAAGTGGTTGGACACCATTCCTTTCCCCCGTCCTATCCCAAATCATTATCCTGACCCCATCCAAGTGATATATAGTCATAATGGCTTGGTGCTATCCCCCTGATAATTCCCTCCCTCCCTTAATTTTAATCTCCCATCAGTCAAACCTAACAACCTGCCAACAACCATCTACAACCTCCCAACAACCATCTACAACCTGCCAACAACCATCTACAACCTCCCAACAACCATCTACAACAACAATCTTCCCTATCTCAACACTCCTCCTCAACTATAACCTCTTCGCCTCACTGATTCCTGTTCCATAACATGGAACTATGGCCCACTCTGTGCGAGTAAGACCCTCTCCCTTCCCTTGACCACTTACCCCACTAACTGGTACTACTCCACTGCCCTCCACTCCTCAGTTCTTCCCTCCATGCACTCCTCCCTACGCTTCTCTTACCTGCTAGACCTGAACCAACCCAGTACCCAACCCACAGGCTGGGACCTGCCCATACAGAGAACAGAGATCAACGAAGAGTCTAAATATGTTGTACACTAATGATCTATCTTGAGGTTATCTTGAGATGATTTCGGGGCTTTAGTGTCTTCGCGGCCCGGTCGTCGACAGTAGTGGGATAAGGCACTACGAGTGTCCGTTTTCCTTTTTCTGGGGGACACTCGTAGTGCCTGGGGTTTTCGTGACATTCAGCCGCGGACACTCGTAGGGTCAGGGGTTTTCATGACATTTAGCCGCGGACACTCGTAGGGCCAGGGGGTTTTCGTGACATTTAGCCGCGGACACTCGTAGGGCCAGGGGTTTTTCGTGACATTTAGCCGCGGACACTCGTAGGGCCAGGGGTTTTTCATGACATTTAGCCGCGGACACTCGTAGGGCCAGGGGTTTTTCGTGACATTTAGCCGCGGACACTCGTAGGGCCAGGGGTTTTTCATGACATTTAGCCGCGGACACTCGTAGGGCCGGGTGTGTTTTCGTGACATTTAGCCTCGGACACTCGTAGTCCCATATCTTTTTCGTCACCCTGGTGACCCTGCACAGACATTGCTAATGGTCAATGACGTCACCCCCGTCTTCATCTTCCCTGTATAAGTCCGTTTTCTGTTATAGTGTAATTATTCCCATTTTCAATATTTATAGCAAAGGGGGATTCAAATGCTACCTTCTGTCAATCTTAATGTGCAATGGCGTAAATCATTATAAGCTCGTTTTTTCTCAATAAGGTATTGCCGTACTGTTTCCCATTGTCTAAGATCATTTTATAGCTAAGATTACATAATAATAACATAAGAAATGACCTCAAACCCCGTTTACAGAACCAGTATTTACCCAGGTCTCTTTTCCTAAATCTAAAACTCATTCCAATTTATGTCCATTGTTTTATGTTCTGTCTAGTGTTGATAATTTTAATAGTCTATTAATATTCCCCCTTTATCATGTCCATTCATTCACAGCTCTATCATGTCACCTCTATTTCTTTGCCTTTCTAGAGAATGAAATTTAAGCTTTGTCAATCTTTCTTCAGAAATTGCTTATTGAGCATAGGGCAAAATAAAAATAAAAACTTACTATCTTTCATTTGTATGAAAACAGTCCCCTGCCAGGCGTAGTGACTTCAATGCGATTTCAGTACTAATCCAACATTACTGTATAAACTAACAGTCCCCTGCCAGGCGTGGTGACTTCAATGAAAAGCAAGCCTCTCATGTTTTGAAATAAGGCCTTCGTTTCTGACGTCATCATCCCTAATGTGGCGCGAGGCATCAACGGGCTAAATGCGGATCCCAGGAGGTTCACACATAAGTGTGAACTCTTAATCAGGCTTAATACCTCACCTATACTCTATGCTTCATCAGAGTTGATATTCAGCTACAATAGCTCGTATTTTCGCTCATTGCTTATATTTTCTGTTATTCATAAACCCGATCAAACCTTCCTAACCTAACCTAACCTAACTTATTATATATAACAAACAAATACATTCTACAGACCAGTTATTGTTGTTGTTTAGTGACATCGAGAAAAGCGACCTCAGGTGTAGGGATAATGTATTGCAAGCCATTAGCATATAGGTGTGAAGGTATTACAGTACCTTACTGGTCAACTATGTATGACGTCACCAGACAACCAATGCCACCTTTGGCGTCCTACTGGCATTTGTATTTGATGTTATTAATCAAAAATGACTAGACTAACCATCCCCACCTAACCTAATCAGAGGTTTAAGAATATACATTTTAGTCATCTGCGACTGTAATCATTCATTATTCAGTAATAAGTTCAAAACTAGAATAGATGCCCAAATGTCGTACCGCAAATTTTAGAAGCATCGTACGACTGGCAGCACAGCTGGTAAGCTAACCTGGCCGCCATTCCCCAGTCAAATAGGACAGTACATCTCTAGCTCTCCCAGCCAGCACAAGCAGCCAACATCGCTCCTGGACATTTCACCAGACCTCTGTATTATTCAACAACAATACGCAACAATGGAAACTTGTCCTTTCTGCAATAAGCCAAAGCAGGGGAAATTGCACTTGTGCGAAGTAAGGTGCATAGAATGTCGTATTTCATATACAGCCAACTCGCGTCGTGAGTGTGTGTTATGCTGTCCCCAGTGCGTTAATATCCCTCGTGGACATTATGATGCAGTCTGCACCTCGTGCTCCAAAATCTTCTGCACCAGTCGTGAGTAATATTTATATCAGCAACACTTGCTTCGTTTATGATCAAATAATTTTATATAGAATTACACCAGCAGCATGTGATATTTTATAAAAAAAAAATATTGCCTACCAGCTTCAGTAATATTGTTTTTATTTGCATAAGTAATATTACTGTGATCCACAGGTCGCGACCCCGAAACCTGTCCATTTTGCATGAACCTGGATGTTGATGACGATACAGAGTCTGACACCAGATACGATTCTGAAACCTCAGAAGCTTCATCACCTCAGAGCGAAAGTGAGTTAATATCAATCATCAGTATTCATTATTAATTTTATTTATCTGAGATAATATTGCACTATTCCCATCATTAATCAGTCATTTAAAAATATATATGTTATGAATTCTAACTAACATCTACAAAAAAATATTTTTTTTTTCAGGATCATCTGTTGAACAGTTGGATGAGGAATATCCTCGTGGAGGAGGGAATGAGGCTGGAGAACCTAGCACTAGTCAAGCTCGTACACCGCCATTAGAAGATAGTAACAATAGCAGGCCAAGTCTAGATCGTAAGTATCATCCTCAGTGATTATTTCCATAACCTTGCATTATTTATTTGTAAACATTCCTATATTAAATTTATATTTTTTATTAAAAATCTCAATTCTTTTACTCTAGGTAGCCATCTAGAGGATGAGGACTCCCTGCATTTGGTTTGGGAAGCTGATTCAGATGTGGAAGCCAGCCAGCCTATCGCCAATTCTCCGCCACCACCTCAGGAACAGGAACAGCAACAGCAGGTAGATGAGGAATATCCTCGTGGAGGAGGGAATGAGGCTGGAGAACCTAGCACTAGTCAAGCTCGTACACCGCCATTAGAAGATAGTAACAATAGCAGGCCAAGTCTAGATCGTAAGTATCATCCTCAGTGATTATTTCCATAACCTTGCATTATTTATTTGTAAACATTCCTATATTAAATTTATATTTTTTATTAAAAATCTCAATTCTTTTACTCTAGGTAGCCATCTAGAGGATGAGGACTCCCTGCATTTGGTTTGGGAAGCTGATTCAGATGTGGAAGCCAGCCAGCCTATCGCCAATTCTCCGCCACCACCTCAGGAACAGGAACAGCAACAGCAGGTAGATGAGGAATATCCTCGTGGAGGAGGGAATGAGGCTGGAGAACCTAGCACTAGTCAAGCTCGTACACCGCCATTAGAAGATAGTAACAATAGCAGGCCAAGTCTAGATCGTAAGTATCATCCTCAGTGATTATTTCCATAACCTTGCATTATTTATTTGTAAACATTCCTATATTAAATTTATATTTTTTATTAAAAATCTCAATTCTTTTACTCTAGGTAGCCATCTAGAGGATGAGGACTCCCTGCATTTGGTTTGGGAAGCTGATTCAGATGTGGAAGCCAGCCAGCCTATCGCCAATTCTCCGCCACCACCTCAGGAACAGGAACAGCAACAGCAGGTAGATGAGGAATATCCTCGTGGAGGAGGGAATGAGGCTGGAGAACCTAGCACTAGTCAAGCTCGTACACCGCCATTAGAAGATAGTAACAATAGCAGGCCAAGTCTAGATCGTAAGTATCATCCTCAGTGATTATTTCCATAACCTTGCATTATTTATTTGTAAACATTCCTATATTAAATTTATATTTTTTATTAAAAATCTCAATTCTTTTACTCTAGGTAGCCATCTAGAGGATGAGGACTCCCTGCATTTGGTTTGGGAAGCTGATTCAGATGTGGAAGCCAGCCAGCCTATCGCCAATTCTCCGCCACCACCTCAGGAACAGGAACAGCAACAGCAGGTAGATGAGGAATATCCTCGTGGAGGAGGGAATGAGGCTGGAGAACCTAGCACTAGTCAAGCTCGTACACCGCCATTAGAAGATAGTAACAATAGCAGGCCAAGTCTAGATCGTAAGTATCATCCTCAGTGATTATTTCCATAACCTTGCATTATTTATTTGTAAACATTCCTATATTAAATTTATATTTTTTATTAAAAATCTCAATTCTTTTACTCTAGGTAGCCATCTAGAGGATGAGGACTCCCTGCATTTGGTTTGGGAAGCTGATTCAGATGTGGAAGCCAGCCAGCCTATCGCCAATTCTCCGCCACCACCTCAGGAACAGGAACAGCAACAGCAGGTAGATGTTTTGCTTCCTCCTCAACCCGAAGTGCTTGAAGTAATCAATAATTTCAATGGGGGGTACATACGCCATTCATATAGCATCCCAGATCATGCCCAAGGAGATCCTGCCCATTATTTGACTATATATCGTGATTATTTTATTCAGCAAATAGAATCCTTGTTTGATGCCGTTCACCCCAATTTCCCTCCTGCCCTCTTGATATACCCTGATTTTACATTTAATTTACAACGGCTTAATCAAGAAAATGAACCTGATTTTGAGGGAGAGTTACCTATAAGGGCCGAGCAACGCACTGTATCTAGGCATGAGGCTAGTGTTGTCGTAGATCAATGGATCGCTGAATTGGATAATAAGTTAGAAGAGTTCTTTGCCGAGACAGAAGGTTCGAGTCTAGGTATACAGAGCATTTCTGGCTTTTATATCAATTCTATAGCTGTTCAACATCCCATCCGTCTAGGAGAATACGTGCCGTATCCAGATAGATTGCGTGGTAAACAACTTATTTTCAATCCTAAAGGGGAGCAAAATATATGTTTGATCCAATGTTTAGCCGCATACATATGCCTTGCTCAGGGAATGGACTTACGCAATATTGGCAGGCGTTCCAAATCAGCCATGTGGTGTCTTAGATTCGTCCGTTGGAGTGAGGATATTGAAATTCCCATAACGTACGATAACATTAATAAAATAGAAAGTATAAATAAATTAAGTATATATATCTATGTGCTCACTCGTGAAGAAAATAGATACTACATTAGCTTAGCTAGAAAAGGCAGGGAACATTCTGCCCGTAAAGTACCTTTGCTCATGCTAGAGGATCAGCATCTTGTGCTCATTAAAGATTTCAATCAATATGTTCGCAACATGCGTCGTCAATTAAGCAGAGCCCCAGATAATCATATTTACTGTCATTCATGCTTAATTCATTTGTCACCTGATGCTATGAGGGATCATGAAGAGTCATGCGAAGTTAAACAAACATTGAAATTTTACCCTGAAGGTCATAAAATCAAGTTCAAAAATTACGGTCGTGCCTATGGACCGTTTCACACTGCATATTATGATTTCGAGTGCTTGTTGGACCCCTCCAATCCCCAAGGAATGATCGAGAAGCGTCACAAAGCCGTGGCATATGCTTTTATCATCATCAACAGGGAATTGGAGGTGGTAGAGAAATTAACGTATATGGGGGATGACCCTGTGAATCATTTCATTGATACTTTGGAGAAAGCATGGAAGAGAATCAAATCCACCATGCCTAAATACAAAATATCTATGACACGTGAACATTGGCAAGCCTATAGACGTCAAACCACATGTGAAATGTGTTATAGTCCATTTAAATCTGATAAAGACAAGCACCGTCATCATGATCATGCTATTGAATTTAATAATTATCTAGCAGCCTATTGCCAAAGGTGCAACATGTTGTGCAGAAATTCTTATAAATATTTATATACATTCTCTCACAATGCGGCTTATGACCTCGGGGTAATTTTAAATGAATTGTCTAACGTCCCTAACCGTGAAATTGACATTGCCTCCAAAGATGGATTTAAGTTCATGAAAGTAGATATCGGTAAACTTCGGTTTATGGATAGTCTGGCTTTACTAAATGGTGGGCTGGAAAAACTAGCTAAAGAACATATTAAGGAAGGTAAACCCACCACTTACACCTCAGTTATGCTAGATGACGTCCCTGCAGCTGCCCACCATTTATTAAAGACAGGCAAACAGGTCTTCTGTTATGACTACATTTCATCTTTGGAGAAATTAAATGAACCGGCTCTTCCTCCTCCCGAAGCCTTTTTCAATAGTTTAAAGCACGAGGCCATAAGCGAGACCGATTATACACAGGCTAAAGAAGTCTTCAGATTAGCAGAATGCAAGACCATTGGGGATTACTTGAAGGTCTATTTGAAAGTAGATACTGGATTATTGTGTGATGTGTTCACTGTATGGCGCAAGACCATGCTTGAGCTATACAAGTTAGACATTACACACTATGTCTCGTTATCTAGTTTTGCATGGGACGCTTTCTTGTTTAAGAGTCAAGTTGTCTTGGACTCTATTTCTGATCCTCATTTGTACGATGTATTGCGTCGAAATCTAAGAGGCGGATTTACCTCTGTTGTACGACAACACACAAGTGTACACAATGAGCATACGGGTGCTGATCCTTCTAGCACTGATAAATATATTCTGTATTTAGATTTTAATGGCTTATACGCCACCTGTATGACAGAACTGCTTCCTCAAGGCGGGATCCGTAAATTATCTACTGCCGAATGCAATGATTGGCTCCAACAAGGATTGGAAAATATTACATGTGATGGGGATAAAGGGTATTGGGTCATGTGTGATACCAAGCATGTCGCACCTGAGGTGGCTCGATACACCGATGACTTACCTTTAACCCTGTCGCATGCTAATATTTCTACTGATCTTCTGTCCGATTATAGCAAACATATTTTAAATACCGAAGATCGTAAACTCCCCAAGAAAAACAATAAATTAATTGCTTCACATCTCCCTCAAAAAGATTACTTGGTGAGTTTGGATTTGCTTCAGATGCTGATGAAATTGGGATTGGAAGTAGCTAAGGTAAATGCAGTTTATGAATTCCAACAGAGCAAGTACCTTAAGGAATTTGTCGAAACAAATGCTCGTGAACGTGCAAATACACCTTGCGCCATTAAGGGTAAAGCTTTCAAGCTAGTATCAAATGCAATTTACGGCAAAAGTTTGACAAATGTGAGTAAATATGGCGATCAGCATTATTTAGTTACATCACGAGACAAATTCCAAAAGCATGCACGCAATCCGTTCTTCAAACGGAGCATTTTGTTAAGTGAAGACAGAGTCATTTGCACAGTTAAGAAACAATCACTTAAAGTCAATACACCAACTTATTTGGGGTTCCAGATCTTGCAAATAGCTAAGAGGATCCTATATGATTTTTGGTACAATACGGTCAAAGCTCATTATGGAGACAAAGCTAGATTGCTGTATACGGATACAGATTCGTATTTGATTGAATTAAGCTGTCCAAATGCTTTTGAGGAATTAAATAAACTGCCTTTATCTCAGCATATGGATTTCAGCAATTTCCCTCCTGAAAATCCCTATTTCGATGACTCTCTCAAAGGTCAACTAGGTTTGTTAAAATCGGAAGTTGGGGCCAAAATTATCAAAGAACTCATTGCATTGAAGCCTAAAATGTACTCTATTCACACTCAAGATCAGGTTCAGATCTGTCGTTGTAAAGGTATTCCCACTTATCATCAGTCTAAACTCACTCATGCTGCTTTCCAAAGTGCTTTAGAGTTAAATATTGGGCAGAGGTTTCAATCCAGATCTATTAGGAATGTTAAAGGCCGTATGTGTACCTGTCTCACTACAAAACGTGGATTGTCTGCCTTTGACGATAAACGTTTTGTACTGAGTCCTACACAGTCTTTGGCGTATGGACACCCCGATATACCTCGAGCAGAAATTCATGAAGAAGAGAATGAGGAGGAGGAGGAGGATGTACCTGCACCTGCTGCTGCACGTCCTGTGAGACGTGGATTCCATCCCATATTCAACATGTGGGGAAAACGCGATGCACTGGTGAACAAGACGTA